GCGGCTCGCTTGGGGGGGGGGGGGGGGGGCAGAGTGGCATGGCACAATGTTTGCAGTGTGCTGGCTGCCCCCTTTACAGCCAGAGCCTCCCAGCTTGCTAAGAGCTGGACGGGAAAATATGAGAGGGCATTATACATCTCTCAGCTTAGCTCTAGGCAATCTGGGACGTCACTGGTTACCAGGAACTTGGCGGGACCCTGTCCCCCCTCTGTGGCAGCTGCCTCAGGAGGCAAAAAAGTTAGGGATGCCCCTGAATGCAAATTACACACTTGTACCATGGCCTTGGCTACATGTTATGCATATGGTTTGGCACTTACTCTAAATGGTGAAATTGTGGTATTAGACCACCAACCAACCATTAACCAACTTACCACAGGTTCTAATTTGATCTTTTTCAGTAGCCTGTGAAGGGTTTTGGAGTTATAACACTAGTATCATTTATAGACCATTCATAAGGAATTTGCATAGTGCATCACCTGTGCAATTAGTATGACACAAGTATAATGTCCTCTTACCATGGAATAATCAGCCACAATATACAGCTCAATATATTTTCTTGCCCTGAGGAATGCCGTTTTCTGTAAAAGAAAGCCCATTAAAGTGAAAACAATGATTCTGAAATGTAAAACAAGTCTAATAAATAGCTTTATTGGAATAAGCTGAGATCAAAGGCTGTCCATAGGCAGATCCCCACTGGGAACACCAAACAAGATATATCTGACCATCCTCTGTAGCACTGGGACATGCAGCTTTTTTAATTTCATGTAGCAGATCCAACAGAAGTCGAGCCCACACTTGGAGGGTTAATCACTAAAGAGTTGAAGGATTAAGATTCGGCTAATCCTTCTGCTCACTTCGGCTGCCTGAGCTGCAGCCAAAGGCGCCGAACTGCTCAGGTGAGACAAACGCACATGCTTTCGCTGGGCTGAGCTGAACACACAGTTCTCCCTATTCTCCTTGCAAAATGTAAACAAAAAAAAACAGACAAACAGCGTGCGTTGCCACTCCTGATCCATACCAGACCCTTTATATCTGGTAGTAAAGTTAGGATGGACCCCTCCTGTTAAAATCTTCTTTTAAAACTGCATGCGGTTACCCCAAAAAGTCATACCAGGCTCTTTAGGTTTGGTAGGAACGAGCAAGCCCCCCCCCCTCCCAGCACCATACCAGACCACATGAAAAAAAAAATGAACAAAGATGATATAGTAAAAATAAAACCAACCCTGCAGTGTGATGCTTCATAATCGGCGCATTAGGACAGTGCCTGGGAACATACACCAGCAGCTGTGTGTTGTAGTGCAGCTGCTGGCATGAGACCGTTCTGTCCAGACCACGATTCGGATCTCGGCTTGATGGAAATTTTATTCACCAGACCTTGATTTTTAATGCACTATCCCTGGATTACATACATGTGGTGCATTTGATGTCACCCTACTAACAGCATAAATCCTGCATTCCTGACTTGACTAGCGGCGCAGTCTCTATTTGGGTCCACTTCCACTACCCTGGATTTACCCTTCATCTAGACTCTCTCTTCTCCCTCTTTCCTCCTCTCTTTGCAACATATTTCTTTATCTTATTTTTCCCTCCCCTACCTGCTACTGCCACATCTTTACATTTATTTCCTCACCCCCTTCTCCTTCCCTTCTCTATATCCAAAGGTGCAAATTTGATCTCCTATGCTTTGTTTCAACAGTTACTTCTGATGTGTCCACAAGATTACTCAAATGACCACAACTTGCTCAAGAGCTTCCCGGGGATGAATATTGTAACATTATAACACTCCAAACAGGAAACAACATCGCAATGTATTGAAAGTACCAACAGCACACTTGGATATGTTGTTTATGTTATTGCTAAAGAGCTTATTGCACCAAACTGTTCAGAGACCACACATGTACTTATTGTTTGACATGTGTAATCAAAGTTGTACCAAACTTTGACATCTTGATACATTAATTGCAAAATAAACCATCATATAATTCTAGTTCTAAGCTTATTTTTCTTTCAGCGTTATAGAGAATATAAACTGTAACATTTAACTTCTCTTAATTGTTTCCTTTTGGTCTGTTAAAGGAGAATTATGGGGAGAGTGAAATACACTCATCCCTATAATTAGAGCCAACGTGTTACACTGAAGCTGTGACACGACGGCTCTATAGATCGAGCAAATACCGCTGGTCGCTTAGTTCACAATCTTCTCCCTGCAGAGAGTGGTGACTGTCAGTCATCACCAGGGCCAGATTTCCCACAAGGCCAACCAAGGCCCGGCCTTGGGGCAGCAGGCGGTAGAGGGGCAGCAGGGGTGTGCAATTCCTATCTCCTGATGCCCGGGACATGCAGTTTCGGGCACCGGGTGGGGTAGTTGTTTTCTACATTTAGCCCTGCTTTGGGCAAGCAGAGCTAAATGTATAGTGCGGAAGCTGCCGCTTGTTTTGTACAAGTGATCCTGGCAATGTATGCAGCCAGCAGGCCTGCCATTCTCCATGGGTGCATGGGGGGGTTTGGCGGTTAAGGGGGCGCATTGAAGAACCTGGCCTTGGGACAGCAGAGAGAGTAAATCCAGCTCTGGTCATCACTCCTTGCAGGATTCCCCCCTTCCCTCTCTGTACCTCCAGCGCTGACTGGAGGTACAGAGGCAGGCACAGATGGATCTGGCTCTAGATAGGCAGAGCCAGCTGTCAATCAGACAGTGGGGTGGATCCTGACAATATTGTCAGGATCCGTCCTGGCTGCAGTGCGGCTCTGCACCCACTATATGCTCAGTTTTGGGTCACAGGAGGGCATAATTATATGTCCTCCTGTGACCCTAAAAAACGTTGGGCCATAGTTCTCTTTTAATCATACTATTTAAAGACTTTTGTTAAATCTGTGTGATAAGTGCAACAAATACCTGTTGATTTTACCTGAAACTTCCTGTGATCTCTGCCTGTGCTGCATTCTTATCAGTTACATTGTTCCCAGTAGGGATGTTCAGATACCAGTGCCAATACTTGGCATTTTCAGGAGAACTAAAAGGGACGCAGCGGTTGTAACTGCGACTGGGCCCTGGCGCTCCACCACTGAGTTTTTCTCTAGTCTAGTCTTGGAGCTGAAAAAGTATCTGTACTGGTACTTGTACCGAGTATGGTACTTGGTATCTGATCATCCCTAGTTCCCAGCCATCTCTGAGGACTACAGAAGCCCTCCCCTCTATGTTATGAAGAATAGGAGAGAGAGACAGGTGTTTTTAGTCCTGTCCTATTTCTATTGTCCTGATATAGGAGGGCGAGTAACTTTCACCCTGGGACATGGACCATGGCAAGTTCACCAGGTAAAAAATAAAAGGAGAAAAAGCCTGAACAAAAAGAAAACTAGCCACTTCTAGCGATCTAAGGGTAAGCTGCACTATATAAAATTTTTGGTTTTGGGTACACTATATATTTCCAGGTTGATTTGTCTTTCATGTATAGAAATACAAAAGGCTAAGGCAACCATTATATAGCTATAAATTAGGGCTGTCTGTGCAAATTAAAGATTAATTTCTCGATTAATCGTTAAACTTTTTGATCGATTTAAATTATTTTGATCGCTAATGAAAACACTCACTTCTCCGCCGGCTTCCGGGAGTCCCATCGGCGATCTGGTGACGTCATAGACATCGACGTCATCGGACTCCTCCCCTCTTCCCTAAGTGGCTCCGTCACGGTGGGAAGGGGGAGGAGTCCAGTGATGTCGATGTCCGTGACTCCTCCCCCCTTCAATAGCCGACGGAGCCACTTGGGCCGGTGAGTTTGCCCAAGAAACTTTCTGCACGAGCGCCAGCCAAGGCATTGGCCTATACACATACAGCACAGCAATTAAGTAATAAAATTAACTAGGATCACACTAATCCAGCACGTTATTATTCTGAGTTGCCCCACTCAAGCGGCGGCCATATTGAGTGGGGCACGTGAGATTAATAACGTGCTGGATTAGTGTGATCCTAGTTCATTTTATTACTTCATGGCTGTGCTGTATGTGTATAGACCAATGTAGTTGGATCTGTACTCTATGTGCGTTATAATTAATTGAAATTAATCGATTAAACAATTTTAACAAATTTAAATTAATCAAACACGAAAATGTTTCATTACCAGCCCTACTATAAATATATAGATATATTTGGCTTGCAGCTAATTTTCCCCTTGAGACAGGTACTAGACATCTCATGACTAATGCTGCAATCTACAGAGTCCCCTTCTTCTTATGCTGACAGACAGACTACAAAATTAATAATTACAAAGCAGTAAAAAGGGAAGCGGTTTGGCAAATAGCATCATGTACTGTTTGTACAGGGGTGCTTGGACCTGTTTTCATAGACAAATAAGCTGAAGGCAAGGTAAATATGTAGTTGGGTATATCAAATCTACGAATCTGCCAATGCCACTTCCTATCATGTGTCATTTTATATATATGTCATTCTTCAAATGTAATATTTCAGTGTACCTCTGTATTGGTCCTACTAGTGGTGTACTTTTCCATTTGCAGATATAGAAATGCACACAGCAGCCAAGCCAGGGGCGTATCTGCCGCGAGGCAAACAAGGCGTTTGCTGCTCTGTGTCGTGGTGCTGGCGCTGGGGGCGAGAGCGCACTATACAGAGGTGGGTGATGCCATCTACGGGAATCGGCGGGTCAGTCCGGGGGGGGGGGATGTGCAGTCCATGAACGGCCGGTTAGTCCGGGGGGGAAGGCGGCGTTGCTGCCTTGCCTAGGGCAGCAGCAAAGTTAAATACACCGCTTAGCCAAGCCCATATTACAGTGTGACCAGTAGGACCAACAATAGGCAGCAAGAGTAATGAGGATGCCTTAGGTAAAGTACCCAATGGACAAAAAATTAGAGTTAAATTTTTCTAGTCTAGTCAGTGGTAGCTACATTTTTGTATTGGTTTTGCCTTCTGAATATGTGTCTGTGAAGGTTCTCATTCATCCAGGTCATGGTATATCTGTAAAAAATAAGTCAAGGCAACTGAACTTGCTGTATTTTTCTTGAAGACGTTTCACTGGTCGTCCAACCAGCTTTCTCAATTCAGAATGACTTGTACAAAAATTATCTGGGAATAAATATGATTGTTCCAATCCACATCATCTGTTAGTCACAACCAGGCGTTGATTGCATTTGCCTAATTGGAGCTAGAAGGTGTTAATAACCTGCCCAGAGAGAGGTGTTAAAACAGCATTGTATGTGGCAGACAAACACCCCCAATGTCTCACTCCCCCACCTCTTTTCCAGCCTGGCTTGAATTTATTCCCAGAGAATTTTTGTACCAGTCATTCTGAATTGAGACAGCTGGTTAGATGACCAGTGAAACTTCTTCAAGAAAAATACAGCAAGTCCAGTTGCCTTGACTTATTTTTTACAGATATACTTCTGAATATGGAACATAAGTTTCGTACCTCAGCATTGCTAATGGAAAATGATATCTTGGTCTGTATAGAATCATTGTACATGGTATCATCCACACCACAGGTTTTGGGGGCCTCCTGGGCTTGATAAGTATACACAGCGTGTGCGCCATCCTCTGTCTTGTTCAAAGGTTCAATCAACAGCTTCTGTTCTTGTGTCATGATAAAACCACTAAAGAAGAAAACAAAGATATATTACCCGCAAAACAGATATCAATATAACTATACATTCCAACAATCTCCATTTGAGTGGTTTTGTCTCAAATTCAAAGGGAAATGTCTTGAGGACTGCATGTCTAAGTGTGGTCAAATTTGAGCTTGAACTTGAAATCTGTGGAAGTCTTTAGTGCATGGCAATTTTTCACTTTCCGATGTTGTTGGGTATGTATTAGAAGAAAGAATATTCTTATAACAGCTGCTAGCCACTAGATAGTTTCTCCTATCTCTTACCTTAACCCATGGCACACACTGAGGCTGACTTGTGAGTTATTGTCATTCTTCACATGACCCTGATAATAGCAGTGATCCTGCGCACAAAAAAAAAGAAAACAAAAAGTGATAATTTGCCTAAAAGCCAAAAGCTTAGGCCCAAAATTAATTTCTTGAGTGGGTTACTAAAGTTAAAAATGATTTCTCTACCGAGACATGGTAAATACTTCTGGCAAAAAAAACATATACATCTTCCAGAGACATAACTACCACTTAAATTAACCCTTTCCCCACCAAAACTAGGTGGTCATTGCCTGCTCAACAATCCATAACTTTGTCAAAGCACTAAAGAAACATTTAGCCGAGCCTAAAGAAGGTTCAGACTGCAGCAGTCACAAACAAGGATCAGAGTGGCAAAAATGATCAAAAAGCATCAATTGTATTTCAATAGTAAAAAAATGTTACAAATGACTGAAACAGATTGCACCTTCCCACCCGTACACCGATTAAAAACTAACACCAACTGTTTCGGGTCAAAGAGTCTGCTATTGGGTCTCTGAGCCAAAGTGTTTCCCTGATTTAATCCTTGTGCTCCTAAGAACATCTGTTTCAAGATATATCCTATTTATCAGGATTTACAAAAGGACTTCATTGAGTTTGGAATCTGACTGAAAGTAAATACTCCATCATTGTGGACCAACATTGCGGACTTCCGTTCCGTCCCCAATTTATCATACTTATCCCCTATTCTTCCATTCCCCTAGAGCTTCACCAGCAATTGCCACTTAATGAATTGTGGGGCCCGCCTGTATGAGTGGATAGTATGAATGCGATGGACAACATTGTCTACTAGTTTTTAATCGGTGTACAGAAGGTGCAATCTGTTTTAGTCATCTGTAACAGTTTTTTACTATTGAAATAAATGTATACTTTTTGATCACTTTTGTTTATAACTACTGCAGTCTAAACATTCTTTAGGCTCGGCTAAATGTTTCTTTAAATACTTCTGGCAAACCTCGAGCCAAGGCACAATGACACCTCATGAGTTTTAACTACCACGTTAAAAAAAAAGTGATTGTTTCAATGTAATTATTAATTAACAAACACACTATAAGTGCAATTTTTTATCCATAGCTTAGGTTTTAAATAAATGAAATATGTCAAGTCAATTTTGGACATTGGTCCCAGGCAATTGCTACTTCTCCTGCTAAAAAAATGATTCAGTTTGTAATTGTTGGAAATACAACAGCTTATGCTGATGTAATATTGTATTTTGACAATAGTTATCACTATAACTTGGTGTCTGAGGAGAGATTGTAGAATGGTTGTGTAGGACTGAAGGGTTCCTTTATGACATTAATAGAGTAGAAAATACAATAAAACCTCCTATAGCTTCATCCTC